TGGTGTGTAGCTGCCCCATATAGGGTGCAGCTCTTGTCTGTGGTGTGTAGCTGCCCTATATAGGGTGCAGCTCTCATATGATGTAGTTCTTGTCTGTAGTGTGTGTTTCTCATGTATAGGGTACAGCTCATATCTATAGGGTGTGTCTCATATATAGGGTGTATCTCTTCTCTCCAACCTGTATTCCTTTTCTATAGGGTGCAGCTCTCCTATACAGTGTGTATGTCTTGTCTATAGGGTGTGGCTTTAGTCCCCAGCCCATTTCTCTTGTGTATAGGGTGCAGCTCTGCAGTATAGGGTGTCTCTCATAATACAGGGTTTCCCTCTTGTCTACAGGTTGTCTCTCTCCCTGAAGCCCGTAGGTCTTGTCTATAGGGGGTTCCTCTCATCTGTAGGGTGTTTCTCTCATCTGTAGGGTGTTTCCCTCACCTGTAGCCTGCACCTCATACACAGGGGGTGTCTCTATAGGGTTACTGTACACAGTGTGTCTCTCCTGTCTGTAGGGTGTGTTCCATATACACACAGTGTGTCTTCTGTCTATAGGGTGTGTTCCATACACACACAGTGTGTGTCTCCTGTCTATAGGGTGTGTTCCATATACACACAGTGTGTCTCCTGTCTATAGGGTGTGTTCCATATACACACAGTGTGTCTCCTGTCTGTAGGGTGTGTTCCATACACAGCACCCCCCGTATCTCTCATCTATAGGGTGCAGCTCTGGTATAGTGAGAAGCTTTCATATAGAGTATCTCCTATAGGACTTATGTCTCTTGAAGGTGGTGTGTGTCTAGTTTATAGTGAGTCCCTCTGTCATCTGTAGGGTGCATTTCCCTTCTATAGGGTGTATTTCCCATTTATAGGGTGTGTTTCCCCTCTATAGGGTGTATTTCCCATGTATAAGGTGTATTTCTCATCTATAGGGTGTATTTCCCATTTATAGGGTATATATCCCTTCTATAGGGTGTATTTCCCCTCTATAGAGTGTATTTCCCATTTATAGGGTATATTTCCCTTCTATAGGGTGTACCTCCCATGTATAAGGTGTATTTCCCCTCTACAGGGTGCATTTCTCCTCTATAGGGTGCATTTCCCATTTGTAAGGTGTATTTCCCATTTATAGGATGTACTTCCCCTCTGTGGGGTGCATCTCCCATCTATGGGGTGTACTTCTAATCTATAGAGGCAGTTATTATCATCACTTGCTATTTATTACTACTTCTTATCATTGATTCTGGGGATTATTATTATTGTTATTGTTATTATTATTTATTTAGGGACCCGACTCAACTCTTGTGCCCCACCAGCCCCACATTTGGACATCTCAAATTGCCAAACCTTCCCCAAAAAATTCCCTCAGAGCTCCCAGTCTGGATTTCTTCACCTTTATTTGTGCCAGGAATGCCAAGGATCGGGGGGCACTCAAAGCCACCACCTCAATTCCAGTGGGTTTTCCAACTTCGAGCTGCCCCGTAGCACCAGTAAAAACCCCCAGTTTCAAAAACAGCCATAAAAAAATCCCACTATTTGCTAAAAATAGCCTTTAAAAGCACCAATCCAGGGAGTTTTGTGTTAGAAAAAGGGGGGAAAGTAGGATGTGGTGAGTGGGAATAAACCAGTTGGTTCTTCTGGCACTAAAAACAGGGAATATTTCCCTCTTTTTTTTTTTTGTTAAAAAAAGCAATAGGAAAATGGGAAAACCATCCAACAGGCCCCAAATTGTATCAAAAATAGACAATTTGGTCGTCTCATTGGAAAAGTGCAGCTTTGGAGGCAAAAATCGCTGTGGGTTCGGAGCAGGGATGGGGATGGATCCCCCTCCTCCATGGAATGAGCTGTGCCAGTGTCTGCTGTGGATTTGGGATGGGGATGGATCCCCCTCCTCCATGGAATGAGCTGTGATGGTCACTGCCATGTTTTTTTGGGATGTGGATGGATCCCCCTCCTCCATGGCCAGTGTCTGCTGTGGATTTGGGATGGGGATGGATCCCCCTCCTCCATGGGCTGTGCCGGTCCCTGCGGGTGTCCCGGGATGTCCCTAAATCCCGGGGGGGTGACGCTGGAGCTCCTGCTCCTTCAGCAGCGCGATCTGCCAGGAATGGGGGAGGTTGGAGGGCGGCAGGAGGGGACAGTGTCCCCCCCGGGGGTGTCCCCTCACCTGCTCCTCCAGGCTGGGCCCGATCCGCAGCCGCTCCAGCTCCCGCTGCAGCTCCGGGGACGATCCCAGGGCGGGAGCAGAGCAGAGCTCCAGCGCCGACACCTGTGCCTGGACAACACCCCAAAACGGGGCACTCCGGGGAGGGCACCCCAAAAACAGCCCAGCACCCCCCGGGGCAAGCACAGCACCTTCCCAAAAGGGGATGAGCCCAGGGAAGAGCCCAGCACCATCCCAGGAACAGCTCCAGTGTCTCCCCGAGCTGGGAAGTGCTCCCGAAAAGCGAACCCAGTGCCATCCCAGGACCAGCTCCAGCACCTCCCTTCCAGCTGGGATGAGCCCCAGGAGAACCCAGGGCCATCCTAGTACCAGCATGTCCCTTCAATGTGGGATGAACCCAGGGCCATCCCAGCATCTCTCAGAAGGGATGAGCCCAGGGAAGAGCCCAGCACCATCCCAGTGCAAGCACCAGTGTCTCCCGGAGCTGGGAAGGGCCCATAAACACCCCCATCCCAGTACCAGCCCCAGTATCCTGCCAGGAAGGGAGGAGCCCCAAAAGCTGCTCAGCAAACTCCCAGTGCCGACCAGCACCTCCCTTCCAGCTGGGATGAGCCCAGTGCCATCCCACTGCCATCCCCAGCATCCTTCCCAAACTGGGATGAGCCCAGTGCCATCCCAGTGCCATCCCCAGCATCCTTTCCAAACTGGGATGAGCCCAGTGCCAACCCAGTGCCATCCCCAGCGCCATCCCCAGCATCCTTCCCAAACTGGGATGAGCCCAGTGCCATCCCACTGCCATCCCCAGCATCCTTCCCAAACTGGGATGAGCCCAGTGCCATCCCCAGCATCCTTCCCAAACTGGGATGAGTCCAGTGCCATCCCCAGCATCCTTCCCAAACTGGGATGAGNCCAAACTGGGATGAGCCCAGTGCCATCCCCAGCATCCTTCCCAAACTGGGATGAGTCCAGTGCCATCCCCAGCATCCTTCCCAAACTGGGATGAGTCCAGTGCCACCCCAGTGCCATCCCCAGCATCCTTCCCAAATTGGGATGAGTCCAGCTCCATCCCAGCTCCACCCCAGTGCCACCCCAGTGCCATCCCCAGCACCCTTCCAGGCGGGATGAGCTCCCCAAGGAGCTGCCCATCCCATCCCATCCCATCCCATCCCATCCCATCCCCTCCCATCCCGCTGCAGGCCCCGGGCTGGGGCAGCCCCCCGAGGTGCCCCCTGTCCAGGGCAGGGTGACCCACCCGCAGCTCCCGCAGTCGTGTCCGAGCCTGGCCCAGCTCCCGCTCGGCTCTGCCCAGGGAGCGATCCAGCCCCGCCGAGAGGGGCTCGGCCCCGGAACCCGGCTGCTCCCGCTCCACCTGCGGACACAGCGGAGACAGCCATGGAGAAAACAGGGGCTGGAACACGGACACAATATAGCAAACCATCTGGAAACCCAGGAAAATATAGGATTTTATAGATATATATAAAATATGTATATCTATAAAATGGTGCATATAGATAAAACACAAATTATATATAATTATATATATAATATTATATATATTATATATATTACATTATATATTATATTATATTATAATATAATATATAACAATATATTATATTACTATATCATATATTATATATAATATTACACATAATATATATTATAATAACATAATATAATATAATATAATATAATATTATATATAATGTTATACAATACGATATAATATTATATATCATATATATTATATTATCTATTATGTGTAATATAGTATATAACATATATAATATATAATATATAATATAGAAAATATAATATATAATAATATATAATAATAGTGCATATTATTAGTATATATAATAATATATAGCATATAATATATATAATATGTATTATATAGTGTATATATGTGTACTATATATACACATATATAGTATATATATGTATTATGTATTACATATATTATCTAGTAGAATATATAATATATATTATGTATAATATATTAAAATGTATATAAACCCAGAAAATATATACGTACATAGATATTACATAGTACATAGCATATGCTATATATAATATATATTATATATTACATAGATAATACATCATATATACACATATATAGTATATGTTATGTATGATACACAAAAGTGTATATAAACCCAGAAATATACATGTACATGATATTAATATAGAATATAATTATATTATTATATTATATTAATTGTATTATATTTATATTATTATATTAGAATACAGATATTAAAGTATGGATAATGTATATTAAAACATATAAACCAGAAAAACATAGATGGGAATAGATATCAAAGTATGTGTAAGATATGTAAACATCATAAATATGGGTATTAATATATGTATAATATATAAAACATATAAAATGAAATATATGGATGTAAATAGACAGCAATAAATATATAATATATAGAAGTGTAATATCTACAGATATTAAAATATAATGTATATTAAAAAAGATATAAAAGCAGAAGATATATATGAAAATAAGTATTAAAATACATATAATATACGAAAACATATAAAATGGAAAATATAGATGTGAATAGATATTAATAAATATATACCCAAAGCCATCATATATAGAAATTTGTCTGATATATAAACCCCTATAAACCAGAAAAGTATGTCTCTAAATAGATATGAAAAATATGTAACTATATGATTATATCTAAAAATATATAGTTACAATATTATATCTCACTATAATATTAATAAATTTGTATTTTATAAATTATATATACACATATATTTATAGATAAACACACACAGAACCAGAAAATATATAATATAAACAGATAAAAATAATTTATAATGGTATGCATAGTACCATACATAGTATTTATATAGTGTATATATTTCTATAAAATACACATTTTAAATATGCTATATAACTATAGAAAATATACTATATATTACAAATAATATAACTCTAAAGATATAATATATAATTACATAATATATATTACATGTGGTATATTTATATTATTATTGTTATATTATATATGTTTTATAATATATAATAATATATAATAAATTATATATATTATATATTATATTATTTATATTATATTATGTTATGTTAGATTATATTAGATTATGCTATATCATATATTACATATTATATATTATGTTATATGTTATATAATATATATTTTATATTATTATTGTATATTGTATATTACACATTACACATTACATATTACACATTACATATTACATATTACATATTACATATTATATATTATATATTATATATTATATATTATGGGGTGCATGAGGGCAAGGGGGGCCTGGGAGTTGATGGAGGGGGGTGCACGGGGTGCTGAGGGGGTCCTGCCCGGGTTCAAAGGTCAGGGAATTTGGGGTCCCCCTCACCCGCAGCCGGAGCTGTTCCTCCAGCCGGTCCCTGGAGCGCTGCAGCTCCTCCCGCTGCTCCCGCATCCCCTGCAGCTGCTCCCGCAGCATTCCCTTCTCCTGCCGCGCCTCCGCCAGCGCCCGCCGCGCCACCTCCAGCCCCTCCTGCGGGACACCGGGATGTGCATCCTACCGGGATCCCCATCCCACCTCCAGCCCCTCCTGCGGGACACCGGGATGTGCATCCTACCGGGATCTCCATCCCACCTCCAGCCCCTCCTGTGGGACACCGGGATCTCCATCCCACCGGGATCTCCATCCCACCTCCAGCCCCTCCTGGGACACCAGGACACTCCCGAGATCCCCTGTGGGGACCCCTCTGTGTCCCCCCACCCCGTCTCCCCCCTGGGGCTCCCATCCCACCTGGAGCCCCCTCCGGTCCAGCTCTCCGGCAGTCAGGGCGCTCTGGAGCTGCTGGAGCCGCTCCTGGAGCAGGGAACCATCGGACACGGAGGGAGCGCTCGGAGAATCCTCCTTGGAATCGCTGTCCAGCGGGGCACTGAGCAGCTGGAATGTGCTGGAACGCTGCTCACTCTGGGCCAGCTGCACCCCAACACCACAGCAGTGGGGTCAGGGGGAACTGGGGGGACTGGGAGAGGGTTCAGGGCAAACTAGGGGACTGGGAAAAGGTTCGGGGGGACTCGGAGGCGTACAGGGGGAACGGAGAGGGGGGTCAGGAGGAACTGGGGTAACTGGGAGGGGGATCAGGAGGAACTGGGGGGACTGGGAGAGGGTTCAGGGGGAAGTGGGGGACTTGGAAAGGGTTCAGAGGGAACTGGGAAGGGGCATGGGGGGAACTGGGGGGCTGGGAAGGGGTACGGGGCAAACTGTGAGGGGGTTCAGGGACAACTGGGAGGAACTGGGAGGAGATTCAGGGGAAACTGAGGAGACTGAGATGGAGTTGAGCAGGAACTGGAGGGACTGGAAAGGGGTTCAGGGGGAAATGGAGAACTGTGAGAAAGGTTGGGGGAACTGGGAGGGGGTTCAGGGGGAACTGGGGGGACTGGATTCATTAACCACCACCCCGGGCAGGGGTGCCACAGTTGTCTCTGGGATTTCCCGGGATCGGGGCCACACCTGTTTCTGGAGCAGCTCCACCCGTTCCTTGGCCTCCTTGGCCTCCGCTTCCCTCTCTCCCAGTGCCCGCCGGGCCCGGCCCAGCTCCCCCTCCAGCACCCGCCGCTGCAGCTCCAGGCGGCAGCTCCGGCTCTCCAGCGCTTCCAGGCGCCGCTTGGCATCCAGGAGCTCGGCCCCCCCGGCCCGCGCCGCGCTCAACCGCTCCTGCGGGGCGGGAAGGGCTCCGGAATGCCGGCCTGGAGCCGGGATGGGCCGGGCACACGGCCGTGCCCGCCTGGCAATGCCCACAGCATTCCCACTTGGAATTCCACTTCATTGGGATTCATGGAGTTTGCACAGCGGGGTTTATCAGTTTTACTGGGATTTATGGAGTCTGCACGGGGGGCTCACCAGTTTTCCTGGGATTTACATGGGATCCATAGGGGAGTTCACCAGTTTTACTGGGATTTATGGAGGATGCAGATGTGGCAATGCCCACCTGGGCCGCACATCATTCCCACTTGGAAGTGATGTGGGAATGCCCACTTGGGCTGCCCAGAATTCCCACTTGGATATGGAGGGTTGTGGCAATGCCACCTGGGCCACCCAGAATTCCCACTTGGAAGCAGAGGGACATGGGGATGCCCACCTGTGCTACCCGGCATTCCCATTTGGAAGGGGAGGTTCGTGGCAATGCCCACCTGTGCCGCCCGGCATTCCCGCTCGGAATTGCGGAGGCTCCGCTCCAGCGCCGCCACCTTGTCCCGGAGCTCGCGGCGTTCCCGCTGGGATTGGCGCAGGGTCTCCTCCTGGAGCAGGAGCGTGGCCTGGGAGCTGCTCAGGTCCCCCCGGTGCCCTGGGAAGGCACAGCCCCCACCCCCCTTCAGCGGGAAAACAGGTGGGAATGGGATGTCTGCTGGTTTTCCTGGGATTTACGGGGGATCCAGAGGGGTTACGGGGTTTACTGGGGGTTATGGGGGACTAAGAGAGGGTTTACTGGGGTTTATGGGAATGCAGAAGGGGTTTACTGGGGTTTATGGGGGATACAGAAGGGATTTACTGGGGTTTATGGGAATTGCAGGGGGGATTTACCCATTTTCTTGGGATTTACAGTGCCTGCACAGGGGGGTTTTACCAGTTTTCCTGGGATTTACAGGGGACCCATAGTGGGGTTTACCAGTTTTACTGGGGTCTATGGGAGGTTCAGGGGGGTTTCACCCACTTTACTGGGATTTATGGAGTTTACTCGGGGCACTTCCCGGTTTTACCGGGGTGGGTGTGGGATGCAAAGGGCTTTCATCAGCTTTATTAGGGCTTATGGGGGATGCAGGGAGGGTTCACTGGGGTCTAAGAGGGATGCACAGGGGTTTTACCCATTTTATTGGGATTTATGGAGGTTGCACAGCAGGTTTCCCAGTTTTACTGGGATTTACACGGGATCCATAGGGAAATTTACCAGTTTTACTGCAGTTTATGGGGAATGCACAGGGGTTTTACCAGTTTTATTGGGATTTATGAAGTTTGCTCGGGGGGTTTTACCACTTTTATTGGGGTTTACAGGAAATACAGGGGACATTTACCAGTTTTACTGGGGTTTACGTGGGATCCAGAGCAGGTGTGACCAGTTTTACTGGGATTTATGGGGCCTGCACTGGAGTTTTACCCACTTCACTGGGATTCATGGAGTCTGCACCGGGGGTGGGGTATCAGTTTCACTGGGATTTACATGGGATCCATAGGGGAGTTTACCAGTTTTACTGGGATTTGTAGAGGGTGACGAGGGGCCTTACCCATTTTATTGGGGTTTAGAGGGGATGTAGGAAGGTTTTTACCAGTTTTACTGGAGTTTATAGGGGATCCAGAAGGGTTTTACCCATTTTATTGGGGTTTATGGGGTATATATGGAGGTTTTTACCAGTTTTACTGGAGTTTATGGGGGATATAGGGGGGGTTTACCCATGTTATTGGGGTTTATGGGGTATATATGGAGGTTTTTACCAGCTACACTGGGGTTTGCAGGAGATGCAGGGGGAGTTTTCCCAGTTGTACCAGTTTTACTGGGGTTCCTGATGTTTGCACTGCAGGTTTCACCCATTTTCCCAGGATTTTGGAGCCACGGGGGGGGAAATCCCAGGGACCACCCTCCAGTCTGGGCGGCACCATCGCCCTCCCCGTGCCTCAGCTTCCCCCAAAAGGGTCCAGCACCGGCCAAATCACCCCAAACCTCACCCAAAAAATCCCATCACCCCCATCACCTTCCTCGCTCTCTTCCATGAGCTTCTGGAGCTGCTGTGCCCGGGAATTGGCGTTATCCCGATCCTGCTCCACCTCCGCCAGGCGCCGGCCCAGGCTCCCGACCTGCACCCGCAGCTCCTCCTGGGGGCGGGAATGGGCTGGGAAAGGGGATTTTGGGGATAACGGCGAGGGGGAGGGAGGAGAAGGGGAATGTACCCGCTCCCGCTGCGCCTCCTGCAGCTCCCGCAGGAATTCCCGCAGGGCCGCCCGCGCCGCCTCGGGATCGGATGCGGGGTCGGGCTCCGGGGAGGAGCCGGGGCTTCCTGACCCCTCTGGGGCCCCGCCTGGGTGGGACAAACAGCGGGAATGGGGACAAACAGCGGGAATGGGGACAGCGGGAGCAGCACCCAGGGCAGGATGTGAGGGGGAGGGGGATGGACCACATCCTACGGAATGTGCCCGTGGGATATGGGGGACCCAGGGATGTAAGGATGAGGCAATGGGGTGGAAGGGACCCCAAGGATGCAGGGGACAGAGCAATTGGGGGCCCCAGGGCTGCAGAGAAGGGAGCAAAGGGATATATGGGACCCTGGTGATGCAGGGGGCAGAGCAGTGGTGTATGGGAGACCCCCAGGGATGGAGCAATGGGGTGATGGGTGACCCCAGGGATGCAGGGAATGGAGGAATAGGAGACCCCAGGGATGCAGGGGATGGAATAACTGGGTATGGAGGATCCCCAGGGATGGAGCAATGGGGTGATGGGCAACCACAGGGAAGCAGGGGATGGAATAACAGGTATGTGGCACCCCAGGGAAGCGGGGGATGGAGCAGTGGGGAGATGGAGCACCCCAGGGAAGCGGGGGATGGAGCAGTGGGCTGACTGACGGGTAACCGCAGTGACACAGTGCCCGCCGCAGGACACATCCCTCTCCCCCAGCCCTGCCGCAGCCCCGGGGCTCTCACCGGGGGCCAGGGGGCCGGGCCGGGCCCGGGCCATGCCCACGGTTCTCCGCAGGGCCGCCTGGAGCCCGCCCAGCCGGGACTCGGCCGCCCGGCGCAGCTCCTCGCCCCGGGCCAGCTCCGCCTCCAGCCCCTGGGCCCGGCCCTGGGCCGCGCTCAGCCGCAGGCTCAGCTCGGACACTTCGCCCCGCGCCGCCTCCACCTTCAGCTGCAGGTTCCGGGAGTCCGCCAGCAGCTTCTTCTCGTTGCCGCGAGCCTCCTCCAGGCTCCGCGCCAGCTCCTTCTCCCGCTGCCGGAATTCCGCCTCCGCCTCCGCCAGGCGCTGCTGGAGCTGCTGGAGCTGCGGGAGGGAAGGGAAGGGGCGATGGGACAGGGAGTGGTGACAGGGGTGGAGAGCGGGGTGAGGGAGAGGCGGGGGGGAGTGGTGGGGGGGGGGGACCCCTAAGGATAGGCGGGGGGGAGTGGTGGGGGTGGGGGACCCCTAAGGATGTGGGAGATGGAGCAATGGGGGAGGGGGACCCCAGGGATGAAGCAATAGGATGAAGGGGGACTCCAGGGATGCAGAGCATGGAGCAGTGGGGTGATTTTGATGCCAAGGGATGGAGCAATGGGATTATGAGGGATCCCTAAGGATGCAGAAGATGGTGCAATAGGGTGATGGGGGACCCCAAGGATGAAGGGGATGGAGAAATGGGGTGACAGGGAACTCCAGGGATGCAGAGGATGGAGCAATGGAGTAATGGGGGACCCCAGGGATGCAGGGAACACAGCAATAGGGTGATGGGGATACAAGGGATGGAGCACAGGGTGAGGGAGACTGAGGGGATGGAGTGATAGGAGACCCTCCAAGAATGGAGCAATGGAATACAGGGACCTGCAGGGATGCAGGGGATGGAATGGTGGGGTGACAGGGACACCCAGGGACACTCAGGGACACGGGATACCAGTTAGGGGGTGATGGGGGTGACTGGGGACAGCAGGCACCGAGCTGTGGGGTGAGGGGACAGCAACACCTCTGGACACACAGCCGGGGGGGGACAGAGATACTTTGGAATGTGGGGCACCAAGCAATGGGGTCCTGGGGATCCTTGGGGACTCCTCACCTCCTTCCTGGCAGCCTCCGTGTCGGCCTCACTCTCCGCCACCTTCCTCCTGAGGCCGAAGGCTTCGCGGCGGCTCCGCTCCTCCCGCTGCTCCTCCAGCGCCACGCGCGCCTGCAGCTCCCCCACCTCCCTGCTCCGCCGGCTGTTCTCGCTGTCCAGGTCCTTCACCTGGCCCGGGAGGGGACGGGGGGCGGCTTGGGGACACCCCGAATGGCTTGGGTGGTCCTCACAACCCTCCTCCTCCTCCTCCTGCCCCCGGACCTGCCGGCGCAGCTCCTGCAGCTCCCGGCGGGCGTCCAGGCGGCCGCGCTCCAGCTCCCGCAGCGCCGCCCGCAGCTCCGTCACCTCCCGCTCGGCCGCCGCCCGCCCCGCCTCCAGCAGCGCCAGCCGCTGCTCCTTGTCCTCCCCGGAGCGCTTCAGGCTGCGGGAAGCGGGAGCAGGGGCTGGAAGCACCTCCCAGGGGGTCCCAGCATCCCCCCGGCCCAGCAGCGTCCTGAGCATCGCCCTGTCTGAGCCAGGCACATCCCACTCCAAGCTGTCCCCATTCGGGGTGTCCCTCCATCCTGCGTGTCCCCCCATCGAGTCTCCCCATCCCCAGATTTCCATCCCTTTGTCCCGAGTGGCATTCAGACCTGGAGCAATTGTCCAGTCCCATCTGGAGCATCCCTGTGTCCTGATCCTCACCCCCACCCCGGGGATCACCCTCCAAGGTGCTGCGTCACCCCTGCACCTCCCAGCTCGTGCTTCCCCTCATCCCGAGCATCTCCCCAGCTCCTGCACCTCCCAACCTGTGCTTCCCCTCATCTCGAGCATCTCCCCAGCTCCTGCACCCCCAGCTCCGGCTTCCCTTCATCCTGAGCATCTCCCCATCCCCAAACTTCCATCCCCCTGTCCTGAGTGTTACCCGGACCTGGAGCATTGCCCCATCCCAACCGGAGCATCCCTGTGTCCCAATCCTCACCCCAACCCCGGGGATCACCCTCCAAGGTGCTCCATCCCCCCTTTGTGCCCCCGTGCCCCCCCCGGCCCTGACCTGATGCGCTCCCCCTCCGCCCTCCGCAGGGCCGCCCGCAGCTCCTCGTTGGAGCGGCGCAGGGTCTCCTTCTCCCTGGCCTCGTCGCCCAGGGCCCTGCGCGCCTCCTGCGCCTGCCTCCGCTCCGCATCCCGCCCTTCCCGGCTCTCCCGGGCGTCCCGCTGCGCTTCCAGCAGCTCCCGCCGCCCGGCCGCCCGCGCCTCGGCCGCCGAGCGCAGCTGCGCCCGCGCCTCCTCCGCCTAAAACGGGGCCGTCAGGGGGGGCCCGGGGGTCCAGGGACGGGGGGGGCTCGGGGCGGGGGTCACCTCCCGCAGGGCGCTGTCCCGCTGCTTGGCCGCCGCCGCCGCCTGGTCCCGGAGCGCCCGCGCCTCCCGCTCGTGGGTCTGAGCCGCCGCCTCCGCCCGCGCCCGCAGCGAGAGCAGCTCCGAGCACAGGGACTGCGGGGACAAGGACCCCCTGAGACCCCACACCGAGCTGGGGGGGCCGGGGGGCGGAGAAAGGGGGATGGGGGCACGGAGAAATGGGGATGAGGGTACGGGGGGGGCAGTGGGGGTGGGGTTCTGTACAAGGGGTGAGATGGGGATGGGGTTCCAGAGAGGGGTGCAACGGGGATGGGGGCACGGAGAGGGGGTGCAGTGGGGATGAGGGTAATGAGAGGGGGGTACAAAAGGGATGGGGGCAAGGAGGGAGGGTGCAATGGGGATGGGGGTACAGAGAGGGGATGCAAAGGGGATGGGGAACAGAGAGGAGGTGTAATGGGGATGGGAGGGGTTTGAAACTGGGGTCTGCAAGAAGGGGAGTCACTGGGGTGGTCTTGCAATGGTGGGGGTGTGACTCAGGCAGGAGGGGTTGCAATGGGGGGGTGCCCAGGCATGGGGGTCTGCAATGAGGGGGGTCATGGGGGATACCCAGACACAGGGGGGCTGCAGCAAGGGGGTTTTCAGGTATCAGGGGTGGCAGTAGGAGAGATACCCAGGCATGGGGGCTGCAATGGGGGACCACAGGCAACACCCACGCACGGGGGGGTTGCAGTAGGGAGTGCCCAGACATGAGGGGACGCAATGGGGGGGCCATGGGGGACCCCCAGGCACAGGGGCTGCAATGGGAGGGGACAATTCAGCTTTGGGGGTTGCCATGAGCGGGGACAGCCTGGCATGGGGCTTGCAGGGGGGGACACGCTGGGCTCTGTGCCATTCTGGGGGGTGCCCAGGAGCCCCCCAAACCCACCTGCTCCTTCTCCTGGTGGGTGGTGACCTCTCTCCGCTGCTGCTCCAGCTCGGCCGTGGCCTCGTCCAGGCTCCGCTGGAGCCCCGCCAGCGTCTCTGCCAGGGCTGCCCTCTCCTCCTCCTGCAGGGCCAGGGCCTGGGGGGGGCATGGCTCAGCCGGGGGGCACAGAGCAGGGACAGGGCCGGGGGGACACCGGGGACACCCACCTGCTGCTTCTCACTCTGGTGCTGCTGCCGCAGCGCCGCCAGCTCGGCCACCAGCTCGTCCTGCTCCTGCATCAGCCGGCCCCGCTCGGCCTCCAGCTCCTCCTGGGAACAGCACCCAGGAACACCAGCCATCACCAGGGAACGCCAACAGCACCAGGGAACGCCAACAATCACCAGGAAACGGCAACAGCACCAGGGAACCCCAACAGCACCAGGGAACCCCGACACCACCAGGGAACCCCAGAAGTCACGAACAAACCCAAAAAATCACCAGTAAACCCCCAAAATCAGCATACATGTCAAAATTCAGCATTACACCCCCAAAATCACCGGTGAACCCCAAAAATCATGAACAAACCCCTCAAATCACCAGCGAACCCCCAAAATCACCACTGTGCCCCAATAATCAGCACACATTCAAATATCTACAATGCACCCCAAAAATCAACACTGCTCCTCAATAACCAACATCGTGTCCCAACAACCACCACCACACCCCAACAGTCACCGTCACCCGCCGGATCACCCCAAAACCCCCAGAAATCAGCAGTGCACCCCACAATTCCATTCCCCCCCCCCCCGGCAGCTCCCACCTTGTGGCGC